CCCCGCCCCCCGCACTTACAAAAATGGTTGTAAGTGCGGAAGGGGCCGAAACCCCCCGACTTACGTCCTTGGCCTGCATTTACGATGGCACACTGTCTATCGTAAATAAGTATTTGAGTTACGACACCCCAGACTTGCGATGCTTCCCTGGGAACAATTGCATCACAAGTTGGGGGGGGTCACCTGTAACTGGAAGAAAGACCCTGAGCAACTCTTCTCTCTCCCCTGTGATAGGGCTGAGCGAGCTGCAGCAGGAAAGGGGCAGTTGCCTGTGTGGAGTATCCCATTTTGACATTCAAGTTCTTGCAGAGAAGGTGGAGGCAGCTTGAGAAGCTGCACCCTCTACCTCCTTTTCCTAGTAGCGAGACTAGCTCAAACACTTTACTTGACAAATTGCAGGGGATAGTCTGGGGGAGACATGTTCAAGTCCTAATACTATGTGCACTGTCTCCTTTGACCAGTTGGCTTCAGGCCACAGTTTAGAGCAGTGTTTCTCAAAGTGGTCAGTGTATCCACTCTCAGAAACCTTCTACCTGGCTGCCCAGATTTGTTTATTTACTGGCTTCAGAGCCTTGTGGCTCTCACTGGCTTCAATTTGCCAAACGGCGAACTGAAGCCAATGGGAGCTGCAGGGCACTGTTGCTACAGATAAATAAACAAACCTGGAGCAGCCAGTTAGCAAGTTTGAGTGGATCCACCGACCACTTTGAGAAACACTGGTTTAGAGGTTTGAGCTGAGTCTTCCAGCTGGACACTTACAGGGTTTCGTCCTAGTGCCCATTATTGCAACATCTGTTGCTTTCCATATAAAAGAGATTGGCGAGAGTGAAGTTCCCAGTGAACTTTATTGGTCTCTGGCTTTTTTTTTTTTTTAAAGAACATATTTAATGTTAGTTGATGAATTACTAAAATATTTCTTTCATGGACCAGGGGATGTGTAAATTTTTGGACTTTTAAAATTTTTTTCTAGAACATGCAACACTTCATTGACAATACGGAGAGAGGGAAGATAATATCTGGCTCAGTCGAGTTATGTTTGATGAGAGATAAGCTTGTGATCTTAGAGCTTGTAAGCTTGTCTCTCTCATCAAGGGAAGTTGGTCCAGTAAAAGATATTCTCACCCATGCTGTATTTCTAATATCTTGGGACCAGCATGGCTACAACAACACTATATACAATAATGCAAAAGAAGAATTTGAGAACATAACCTTCATTTCAAGAGGTGGGAAAGAGGCATCAAATTACCTTACTTGCAATTCTCCTGCTAAATCAATCAGTGTGGTAAACTCTTAAAAATACAAATATAGTCAGCTTGGTGTACCAGATGAAAAACACCTTTTTTAAAAAAAACACCCTTGTTTTATACTTGTTTTATAATGGCTTTCTAATGGACCTGATTCCGCAGGGCATCTGAGTCACCAAAACTGGAATGGTCCCTAATAGCAGAACAACTCTACACTGTGTAGTAATTAGTAAAATGAACTCTAACAGTAATTGCTTCTAATTTACTGGTACAGTATCTGAGAAAATAATCTTTTCCCTTCAAAAGCAGAATCCATATTGGTGAATTGTTCATTCCCAAACAGTTCTGTGTAGGGTGATAGGCAACTTGAAGAGTTAAGTGAATTGATTCCCAAAAGTCTGTGTATTTTTTTCCCTTGTTTTCTTCCAGGAATTAGCAGAAGAAAGTCAGTCACCTTGCTAATTCAGGTCTAGCAATATACTGTATATGCTCTCCAAGACTAAAATGATGTAATAGTGCTATTTCGCATGCACTGTTTTGAAATAAGTGTTTATGATTAGAGTAACTTGTTTTCTATCTAAGCTTTGTAAGAAATGGAGATGGGATTTATGTCCTGGTGCTTGAGTGAAGTGGGTTGGGAGGAGAATTTCATTGGTAAAATAATTTGCAGTCCTCTAAGCCCCATTCTGCTACATCAATTTTCTTAGTTGATTCGTGTCTTCTCCTAAACAATTTGGTGCATGACTTGACTTTTTACCATTCTTAATTCCACTTGACCTTCAGATCTCTAGGCTGGCATTCCCTCTTACTCTACATCTTTTTAAAGTTACGTTTTTCATTGTCTTCAGAGCCCCCAGACTCTGTGTGTTCCTGTTTCTAATTGCCTTTCTGTCTGCCTTATGTACTTTCCCATTCTTAGCACTACACTCATCCCTGTTTACTACTATCTTCTCCTTTTGTTGCCATTAAAAAATGTAACTGGGTCTTATACTGTGCTTTATAGCTAGAGCAGCTAACTGTCCAATATATACCAAACTACCTCTTGAAAAGGAAATACACCATAAGTGTTACATCTATAATAATCATGCATAATGCTCTGCACGCTGCATCTGCTTGTGCCTTTAGACTGTGGTTGTTTTGAACAGCTTGATGAACACTGGGCCTGTGTTAGTACCTGGCCACCATTGAGGTGGAGTTTCAGAAGTGTCCAGTTTCTGCTGCTGCTTCTGCTTTTCTTACCTGTTAGAAAAGAAGGAGAGCTTGATGTCGGTGCATGTGCTACTTTTCTTCTGGATGTTAGTGATTAAACTGTAGCCTCTAGTTCTTAAAACTACCCACCAAGGGTGTTATCTATGTGCTCCTCTTTCCTCAGTACATGTATCTACACTGGAGGTGCAACTGCCATCTCTGCTTGAGCTAGCACAGCATAGCTGTGGCAGCACGGTTGGTGAAAAAGGTACGTCTGGATCTCTGATGGAAATCTACAGGGTGGTTAGCCTGTCTTGCCGCTCACACTGCTGTGGCTACACTTCAGTGTGTAGTATCCTAGCTCGATCTGAAACAGCATGGAAATTGTAGCCCCAGTATAGATAGACGCTTTGACTCATCGTACTTTCCTTGTAAGTAAATCCATTTTGGACCATTCTCTTCCCGGCTGAGTTTCTGTCCTGTGTTTAAAATCAGACAAATGCAGGCTGACAGGGTTGGTTGAGGGGGAAATGTGGGGACCACAAGTATAGCTACTTGATGTGTGAGTAACCTGGTGAAGAGCAGCTACTGAGAGCTTTTTTGTAGCCATTATCATAGACAGCTGCACTCCATGCCATGTGGGTGTTACCTAGCATTTAGCAAATGTAGTTTCCCATTGATTTTTTTGGGTGGAACTGATTTATAGAGCTGTTTAATGGAATTGATTCTTTTTATAACTTTCTTTTCTTGAAGACCAATTATTTTTCTTGAGCTGTGTCTACAAGTTTGTGGTTATACAAATATACAAACACACACAAAAACTAAAATAAAAATTAAATCTCAAACACCTCCCTTTTAACTTGACTTGATATGTGAGCTGTAATAAATTCAACATGATGAAATCCCAGTGGTGGGTGTAACCACAAAGTGGTGCTCCATTAAGCCAGTGACTGTTGGGAATGTTTGTTGTGGTTGTGTCTGGAGTGAGGGGAAGGCTCCCTTAGTTTTGTGGAGGCAGACATTTTTAATTCTTCCTGGCTCCTGAACCGAGGGAAAGAAAATCCAGAAATCATATAATGTGTAAGATTGTGCAGTCTCTTTCTTTGTAAGTGAACAGGTAAGGAAGACAATATTACTCCACTAACTGTCTCTTATTCTCTGTCAACAACATGCAGATTGTATTAAGAATATTTTATGACTACTGAAATATTTCAAGGTGTCTTTGTTTTACTGTTTGCAGCCTGATTTTGTTGGTATGTTGCTAATCTTACAATACTCAATACAATGGCCTTGCTGTGGAATTTAATTGGGCAGGTTAGATTTAGGATCATGATTGGGTGGCAATGTCTAAATTTTCAGGGGGTAGCCTGTTAGTCTGTACAGGATAAACTTAAAATATAACAAGTGGTCTGGTAGCACTTTAAAGACTAACAAAACATGTAGATAGTGTCATGAGCTTTTGTGGGCACAGCCCACTTCTTCAGATGACCAGAGCATTGGATGTCCAGTACCAAAATAAATTGTCTACATTATCAGCCTATTGCCCTACTAACAACTGGGTGCTTAATACACAAGAAGAGATCTGATCTGTAGCCAGGTCCTAAATCATACAGGGCTTCAGTAATTAAAAGCACCACCTGGAAATAAGTAAATAGGTGGAAGGCCCCATAGAACCCAGCTGTTTATAAGATTTCTGTGAGAAATGCAGTTGAAGCTTGAAAGTATTCTCTTCTGCTGTAGCCTCAAGAAGAATATATTGCAATAATCCAACAGAGTTGAGACAAATGGGTAACTGGAAAAAAAAAAAAACAACCCAGCTGAGTGGAAAGATCACTTACCCCTTGCTGACTGCAGGCAGAAAAAAATCTATGCCACAAACAGTTGACCAACTCAGATTCAGGAGGACCCATACAGTGCATACTACAGGACTGCCAAAAACATACTGTGTCCCTGCGGAATCTCCCACTACAATGGGAGCGTGTGCATCACTGGGGTTGGGAGACAAATTATAAACAATGCATGTGTAATGTATAGCACCTAATAGCAGTTTGACCAGTGGTTTTTGTATCCTCACGTTTTAAAACACATATACCATCAGCATAGGGAAAGGGTTACAATAAATAGTAAATTGCCCTGGCCCAATTTTCAGTGCTTCAGGAGCTTGCATTCACACACAGGAAATTCTGTGTATGTAAGGTTGCAGTACATGCTTTTAAAAACTGTGGGTCTACCTTACAGTATGCTACCCTTTCCTTAGCGTCTCAACAACAGAAACTATTGTTAGCTGTCTTTTTGCACTTTATACAACACCTTAGCAAATCCTAAAGGGCATTCCACAGGAGGAGAAAAGGAACTTTATTGTTGCTTCATAAATGAAACCTGCAGAAGTTGGATTATACTGTTGTTTTATGAAGGTGTTTTATATACTCTGACCATGTTGTAAACTGCAGTTTCTGTTGACTTGGCTATCATACTGGCTATTTGCAATCTGAGTCTTTTGCAGATGTGATTCATAGGCTTTTAAAGCCAGCAGGGACCATTATGAGTTTCTGACCTCCTGCATAATACAGTCCAGGGAGCCTCACCCAGTGATCCTTGTCTCAAACCCACAAGTCCTGGTCAAGTTACAGTATATCTCTTTAGAAAGAGGCACCCAATTTTGATTTAAAGACTTAAAAATGGAAAATCCGCTGCGTTCCAATGGTTCATTACCCTCACTGTTAAAAATTTGCCCCTTTTTTCCAGTCTGTCTCCTTCCTGCCATCACATGCCCTAAGCTGCCAAG